ATATTCCGCCCGTAAGACAGGACTCTGCAATAATCATGATTTTGTTTGATATTGATTCTATGATTGTATATTTATAGATAAGTTGAGCTCAAGCGTACATCTCGTTGCGTACGCTGTACCGCATATATTATACGTACTCTTCTTTTTTATATAGGCGAGATATCGACTGCATACCTATATCTATACCGGATGTTTTATAAATCGCAAAGCAGCCAAGAATGGAAGGTTCCTCGGTCAGATGTAAGACGACCCTAATGGTAAAAATAATTCTGGAATCGAAATTTTTGCATCCTCGTATAAAATTGTAACGACGATTTAAAAAGGAACACGCGAGAATCTCTGTAAATTATTAATTCGTGGTCGTTCTATTTCTGTAACTGGTGGAATCTCCTCTTTTTAATTTTCTGATTGATTCACGATTTACGAAACAGCCTACGTATAACACGATTAATATCAAGATGATTAAGCTGACGATGACGATGAGGATGACGGCGTGCCAAGCGAGGCGGGAATTGTTCTTTAAAAGCAAACAAAAAAAAAAGTATAATATTACATATATTATGTATAAAATAATATAAACGACGATAATGATATTAAGGTAAATAAGTACGACAAAACGACTGCTCTATACTGCTAAAGTACAAATGTTTCATTTTAATTGTTTTATAAAAAAAACGATATCGATTTGTTAGTGATTAGGTTTAATGCGTGCACGCACGGGCGCGCGATGTACGTGTAATTATATTTATTTGTTAATCTCTCAGCATAATAACGTGGCCCTTCCATCCCACGTGTTACTGAACCGCGTGCGCAAACACATGACACGCTCACGCTCGCTCATTTCGCATTTCACCACACGTAACTTTTTTCAAACAAACATAGCCACTCACTCACTCACATACATACACACATACATACACACACACACACATATCTTTCCTGCCGTACTTATGTGTATGTATAAGTCGCGTGCATATAACATTTGGTCCCAGCAATATACTATATGGGTGCGTATAAGTGCACAGAGGTTATGAAATTCGTCGTTTTCGTCGTAACACGCACAGATTTATGAAGGGTTTCTCCGCTCTTTTTCACGGACAATCACCACGGTGGTGTCTGATGATCGATGCTGAACAGAGAATAGAACTTGCAAACGACAGCAGACAGGAAGGTTTTCTTTTTGTACAGCGTTTCCCAATCATTTTCATTTCTGACTTAATATGATGGTACATGATTGTCTTGATCCTTGGTATTTTTTTGTTTTTTAACATGATTTCTGATCATTGTAATTGTAAGGGGAACATTGTACTGTGTTTCTTAAAAAAAAAAGAAAAAGATGCAAAGCAATTGAATGATATATTATAATATAGACTTTTTTGGAAAGTAAGGAAAACCTTATTATAGGTTAGTGAACTGCCCTTGACTAATAAAAGCTCGCTTTCTCTAAGAATCCTTTTCTACAAAGGAGGAAAACATGTGCAAAATATGTGTACAATTGATAGGTTGGGAAACGTTGACTTGTTTGATCAAGAAACGATAATAATACATATACATTGTTCAAACATAGCTACTTACAAAATTATAATATGATTCAATAACTTTGTTCCTAAAGAAAATAATTTGAGGTACTATTTTTGTCAATGTAAAAAGTGTTTTAATTCATTTATGCTCAAAGCATTGAAGATAATGCAAACTTTTAAAAACTGTCATGTTTTAATTTAAAATATTTCCAGACAGAAGCGTGTAAAATATTTTTCTAATAAAAAAAAATATACTAATTTTAATATGCCTCCACTATGAATAACAGTTCTGAGCAAAGATGAATTAAAATGAATGGAAAAGGACAGAAAATATTCTTTGTACTACAGATTCAATAAATATGTTATTATTGTCGTTGCTTGATTCGATCATACGTTCAATGATGTATCTTCATTTCGTTCACGGATGTTCATTAAACATTATTTTCTGTTTTATGTAATATTTCACTCACGATATCGTACTTAATCAGATCAGTATCGTTTCATCCGATTACCGATTAATTTCCGACATTTCATGATATATCCGATAGAGAATCGATCGACATTTTAATCCTTTACGATGCAATGTTTTCCCTATTTCCCGTCAGGCGGCCTGCATTGGTTTTAACGTACAATTAGTTACACTCTTCTGTTCGAATAAATATTCTGTTACCGTGAAATATTTTTATCGTGTATAAATAATTTTTGAAGAAAATTATATATGATGTTTGATTCGAAATAAAATTAAACATAGCGAAGTGCGAGATATTTAACTTAATTCAACGACTGCGAGGAGTTCCGAACAAGTAGGGAAAACAACAGAGAAAAAAAAACAAAGAAATAATTAACTCGAACGAGAATCACGATTGAATCGATTGCAACGATGGTTCCCAAATTGTTTGATCCAAAGGTAATACAACGGGAAATAATTTCACGCTGATGCATCACGATTTAATGGATGCACGAAAAACAAAAAAAAGAAAAAAACAAAGAAACAAAATATATCTCTGTCATACATATCGTTGCAGTAATCGATCAATATTTTATATTTTTCCTTGTAAGACAAAAGTTTGTCCGCTTTAGCTCTTTGCAAACGCGCGTATTGATCGTATTTTTGTAAACTCTCTAGAAATCGATTTCACCCAAAGTTCACGCTGCCGATGGTCTCATAACGTAAAATTGTTTTGCAACGAATCGCGACAAAAAAAATGAACTAGTTCGCAGAGAGTTAAAAAAAGAAATAAAAATACTCGGACAACGTTTGTCGACGATAGGATGCTTGACCATTTGAGTGCAGAGGATTGCGATCGCACTCCTCGATGCTCCAACGGGAAATGCGAAAACTACGAATACACTTTTTGCATTTCTTCCGTTAGAGAACAGCTGTTGAACGCATGTAAAGCAATGTTGCACGTCCAACAGTTGTCTTCTCATTGACAAAATCGTTCGTGATTCACTGTTATTTGATCAGTATCAGTTAATAAACTTTTTAAATAGTGTTAACAAAATAAAGGCAAACATTTCTTTCTGTCTCGATTCCTTAATTTTACCTGAATTCCCGAATGAACTTTTTGCTATTTAAAACCAAAATTTTGAAGGCGTGCAAAGCTGCTCTGCACTCGAATGGTTCAATTGACGATTAACAATACAACGGGATTTATTATCGTGTAAGATCGTTTTGCAGTAAAAAGCAAGCGAGCCGAGACAATCGGAACAAAATATCACGTAAAAAATTGCCATGATTTGAACTCGAAACTCAAAACGCGTCATTTTAGTAAACGCAGTTAATAGAAGGGTAGCGTAAATAAATTGAAATCTTAAATGTTAGAAATATTCGTAGAGAATTAGGAAACGTCAGATTTCTTAGTCATTGATATCTGTCGCTTTTCTTCTTTTGTATTTTTTTCCGATATTTTATCATGTTAAAATGAAAAATTAAAATGTTAGTCATTTGTCTAATTAAATTAACGTTGTTAGATATTTTTGAAACCGATACCGTTAACGATCGACTTTCTATTCGATTGTATGAATGTACTACTTATTATTCAAAATTATTTTAGAGGTTAGGACTGTTCGAAATGGCTTTTATAGATGGCAGTGAAAAATATGTCGATACAATATGTATTATGAAAGTTACTACTAAATACGATTATTATCACAAGCAATGATTTTTTTCATAAAATTGCATTGATCAATATTCTCTTAAGCTTTTTTTTTCCATCTAATAACATAGGTGAAAATATTTTTTGCGATTATATCCTGTATTTTTCATGTGTGCTTTTAGCAGTACGAAAATATTTCAAATTTTGTTGAACAATACGGGAATTCTTATTAGATATTCATACTATCCGAATGTTGTAACAATGATGTTTGAATAGTACAAACATGCAAAATAATATTTGTTACCTGAACAAGTACCTGAGTTATTCTTTGAATCTTCAGGACAAGTAATAAAAAATAGTAATTTAAAAAAAGTTACTAAGGTACTTAAATATTTTTTAAATAAAAATGTAATTAATTCAAAACATACTAAGTGACCATTTGAGTACCTTGAAACATTACCAGTAAAAATTTATTTTATTCGGATAATATGGGTATCCATTATTCAGAATACTTATTAATATTCTAATAATTCAAATATATGAATTTAATTTTATATTCTTGACAATGCTCTTTTTATTGCTTTTATATTTACAGAAGATTATGTTACATATTCTATTCAACTGGATGTTCTAATCTTAATTTATTAAATAGTTTATGCCAATTATAATAAATTCTTTGAAATATGTAAAAAGCAAGAGACAAGAGAAAAAAAAATTTAGAAAAACATGAATTAAATTTATTTTACGACACAATTTTTACATACATTTTATTACTGATAGATGTAATAAAATACTGCTGTTAAATGTAGAATAAAAACAAGAATTGCTGTAAATGACAAAAATGAGATATAAAAAAATTAAAAAAATTTTAGCAATGATGGACTTCTATTACTTAAATATTAAATAACTGTTCTTTTTGAATGTTTAATGTTTTCAATGATAAATTTGTTTTTATTGAAATGCTGTACTCTTTGGCCAAAAAAAATAGAAATAAAATTTTTTGGCATACGCAGTTTTTTCTATATTCATAAGTAAGGTTTATCTTTATCTTGTTGCTACTAAGTTTTGATACATGTTCTCGCCTTATTTTTATGGGTCAAATAGAATGTTTACATCATATTACAAAATATAAAATTTAAAAACTTTTTCATAACTGTTAAGTATTTCAATCTTTATGAAAAGACATTTACATTTCATTAGTTTAAAACCAGTAAAAGGAAAAGAAATTTTATGATACACAATTATTATAAATTTAAAAATTAAATTACAAAGAGATTACTCTATGACTTTCATATCATATGAACTAGTAAATTATGAATCTGGTTTGTCATTTAAGGGGAGGTTTCGGTCTAGAACTTTGAAAAAATCGAAAACTTTTTTCAGATTTTTCACTTCTTTGAGGTTTAAAGAATATGTAGTTAAAAGGAAATTTCGAAATTCTAAAAATTACCAAAGTTATAGGCTTTTAAGTGTCAGCTGCCGCATCGGTCTTTTACCGCTCGGTTTCAAATTGAACTTGGTGTGTAAGTGTAAAGGTAATATTGCTACGGGATCGAGTCCGTTTATTAACAAGTTTATTCAATTACCAATTAACATTTCTTCTAAAAAAAAATCCTAAGAATAATCATTTTTTAGCTTCCTAGACCTTAATACCATTGCAAATTGTTCTATGAATGGTATATTGTCCTTTCTTTCTAATACCATCTTTTCTATTTTTGCTGGTAAGTTTACCCCAACTAATTTGGTTATCACACTTTTTTTAGGCATCCCAGCATCTTTCCGTTTTCTACGCTGCGACTTTCTTTTTATCTGTTTTATCTTCTTTTCTGACATGTGTAGTTTTTGAATGTGCTCTTCTAATCTTCGTTTTGTTCCAATCTTTATTTTACATATATCACACTCATATTTGTCTTCCAAGTGATAAGTTCGTATATGAGTCGTTAAATTTCTTTTAAAATAATAAACTCGAGGACATTTTTCAAATGGACAAGATATAACAGACCTACTTTCCATATGAACTTCAGAATGCCTTTTTAAATGTTGTTTACTCAAGAATACTTTACCACAAGTTGTGCATTTATAATCTTTATTAAAAAAATTTGTAAAACATTTTTACTTAATCACGTTAATGAATATTTACCATAAACATGCTGTGTTCTTATATGAGCACAAAGAAGTACCCATTTTTCAAAAACTTCATTACATTCTGGCATAGTGCATGGATATCTTTTTCTTCCTTTTTCATGATTTGTTTTATGTCTGTCAAATTTTTTACAGTCTTTGAAGTTTTTGTTACATTGATCACATGTATATGAAATTGAACTATGTATTGCCACATGTGCTTTGAGCTGATATTTTTTTGCAAAAGTTTCATTACATTCTTGGCAAACCAGTTTATTATTATGATCTCCATGTATTGCACTTAAATGACGCTTTAAATTATGTGCATTACTAATATGCAATGAGCACTTTGGACAACTGAAATGGAACCAAAGTAAGGTAATATGTTTGATCATTAAAACAAGTTTCACTAAAAAACCATTTACTTACACATATAATTTCTTTATGCTACTATGAGTTTCCATATGCCGTTTCAAATGACAAGCATTCGTATAGGCTTTGTTACATTGTGGATGATTACATTTGTAACATCTCTAAAAATAAATGCTTAATATCAATTTAAATGAAGTTATTAAAAAAAACCAAAGAAGAATTAAAAAATGGAAAAAATATATGAAATAAACATTACCTCTCCAGTATGATATCTGATATGTCTTGCTAATTTGGATGGTCTACGAAAAGCAGCATCACATCCAGCAAAAGTACATTTATGTGGTTTTACATCTTTCTTAGTTTCAGTAGACACAACAGCGTTTTCTAACGCACCATGATTTTCGCTTTCAGACAAAACACTGTTAGATTCTGAATTTTTATCCTGTCCCATTGTACACTATATTATTTGCTTCAAAATATATTGTACGATGAATTATATTACATGCAAAGGATTTTGAATAATGCACGTTAAGTTGCACTATCCTAACCTATCATAATGTTACATTATTTCTATTATTTGGACTTAAGTTTCTTAATACAATTTCATAAAATATCAATAATACTGCATATATCACAGATTCCACGTATATGCAGCATTTTATTTTGTCAAGAAAATATTAACATTTATCGTTTTGTATGCAGAACAAATTCATAAGAACACGTGACGAAGATCAGCTGTTCGCTGAGCCATTCGGTCACGCCGTCTTTTTTTTATCTGGTTATACTCGATCAACGAACCGTCACGGTGTAATCAGCTGTTGATACGTTTTAGATAGACTACACATTTTTGAATAATTTTTACAACAGAATTGGTAATTGACAGTGTACTCCTGTATGGTTAAATACAAAAATTTGTGGCATAAAGTTACAGTGTTATAAAAATTTTATGATATACATATATACAGCGTGTTAACTGGAAACGATGGAATACCTCACGAGAGGTTGAAGTTATCAGAAAAGTGTTGTTACAAAAGTTGTTTGGTATCAAGGGGGACATTGCGTAATATAAATAATTTTTCTGTAGGTATAATGGTGGGAGAGATATCAAAGTCAAGTTAATTTTTTTAAATCAACCCTGTAGTTTTGTATTCATAGTATGGTAGTGTTTGTTGAGACGAATACAATGACCTATCACATGATATCATTGTAAGAGTGAAAACTAAAATCCATTTACATACAGTTTGTTACAATATTGACACTTCCTTCACAGTAGGAAGAACATTTCGTCAAAAATGGAAGAATTGATTTGGTATAAATGGATAATGCAGTCTCGTGAAAAGGACCTTTAAGGTAGAGACATAAGGGGCGATAAGAAGCCAGTGCACAGCCTGATTGACGCGGCATAGCGGCAAGCAGATACAGCCACGTAAGTATGCTAGCGGCTTGCGTTCATCTAACTCTGGATCTAATTTATGACCTTCTCTGCATGAAATTATATCATGTGATAGGTCATTGTATTCGTCTCAACAAACAATACCATACTATGAATCAAAGATACAGGGTTCTATTTAAAAAATTTGACTTTGATATCTCACCCATCGCTACACCTACAGAAAAATTATTTATATTACGCAATGCCCCCCTTGATACCAAACAATTTTTGTAAGAACATTTTTTTTTTATAACTTCAACTCTTCATGAGATATTCCATCGTTTCCAATTAAACGAAACACCCTGTATAACTCGCAAAAATTTCTATGAAACGCATAGTACATAAGACAGTTAGATTTGCTTTTGTTCGTTTGACAGCATATGAAGGTGAGATCGGATGCCAAATTAAGACCGCGTAAATAGATCAAGAGCTAATGATAGATTCTAATATATATAAGCGCAAACATTATTTTTAAAGGATATTTCTGTAATCTTGAATTGTAGAAGATGCGATGCGTATAAAATTCTGCAAGAGGTTAGATCATCTTCGATGTTTGACGTTAGATTTTAGTTTTGTTATAAAGAATTTGTGTCAAAATTCTAGATTAATACAAGAATTACAAATTTTATAGTAATGATAAAAGCAAATTTTACATAAAAATAATCTAGTGTTAATAAATTCGATAAGTAAATCGTCAATTAAGAGCAGAATGTAGTAAAATAATTTGACAAAAAAGCAGTCAATTATAAATGACGTAAATAAATCAATAATTAAGATTTCAAGAGAAATGTAACTAATAAGATATTACTTTGAAAACATTTTAAGTTCATCTTTTGTTACTAAAAAGCTGTATCATCTAAATATATTATTCTAAATGACTAATAATATGTTATAAATTGTGTTAGAATCTTTAGAAAAATAATGGGTCAAACACTTGGTGAGCCTGTGACAGCTAAGAAGTCAGCATGTTGCAGAAATTCAAACTATCGTGTTGGAAGTTCTTGTATGCAAGGTTGGCGTGTTAAAATGGAAGACTGCCATGTACATATACTTTCGTTACCTGATGATCCTGGTACTGCATTTTTTGCAGTATATGATGGCCATGGAGGTGAGAATATGAAATAAAAGTAAATAAAATTAAATATCAGAATTGGAAAATTCCACCATTATTCAAACTTTATATAAAGATATAATGTATTGTATTAATATAATGCAAACTGAAAAAAATATACTTCAAAAGAAAGTTTCAGGTCCTATTATAACTGCTATAAATAAGAAGTTATAGTAAATAAGTCTAACTGTAATTACTTCTGTGCTCAAAGAAGTGATAGATAATATTGATAGGTGCAGCAATGGCACAACATGCTGGAAAACACCTTCATGAGTATATAACTAGAAGAAGTGAGTATAAAAATGGTCGCATTATTGAAGCTATAGAACAAGGTTTCCTGGAACTAGATAAGGCAATGCAAAATGATGCAGCACTTAAAGATGAACAAGCAGGAACTACTGTCATAGCTCTTCTTATTAAGGACAATGTTGTATATATTGTAAGTCTTTTTTAACTTACTATTCTTTTTGTTATTTCTATTATTGTTTTATAAGATTTTTATAGGCAAATGCAGGTGATAGTAGGGCAGTAGCAAGTATCAATGGTGATGCTGTTCCCCTTAGTCGTGATCATAAACCTATCTTAAAGGGCGAACGTGAAAGAATTGAAGCTGCTGGTGGTTGGGTTGAATTTAACAGAGTCAATGGTCAGCTAGCATTATCTCGCGCCCTTGGTGATTTTATATTTAAACGAAATGACCGCAAATCAGCACAGGAACAAATCGTAACTGGTAATATTAAAAATAAGTAGAAAATCGATTAGTGAAAAATAATATTTTATCAATATTATATTTATAGCTTTTCCCGAAATTCAAGAAGGTCAATTAACAGAAGATTGGGAATTTGTTGTTTTGGCCTGTGATGGCATTTGGGATGTAATGACAAATAACGAGGTAGTGAATTTTGTCAGAACACGTTTAGTTCAGCCGAAATTTGGGACAGGACAAGAACAAGACACAATGGATCCCGAAGAAATTTGTGAACAGCTTATGAAACACTGCCTTGCACCAGATGCTTTAATGGGTACTGGTTGTGACAATATGACAGTTGTCCTCGTATGTTTTCTTCATGGAAAACCATATTCTCATTTAATTTCTCGCTGCAAGGAATCTATTAGACCAAATCCTTATATTTAAATTACTAATATTTTACGTCACCATTTTTTAAATTGTTTATATTTAATTTTACATCATAATGAAACAATCATATTTTACTTTTATGCCCCTCCCGTCGAAGGTTATAAAATTTGTTAAGCTTTTTTTATGAATGCTCGTTGTTTAAAATTTTATAAACACAAACTTCTGAAAAAAAAAATTCATTTTGTATCAAGATAGCATTTCCCTTTATCATTATTGTCGTCGTATTTTGTAACTTTAAAAAGCAAATTACGAATAAGCTGAATTACAAGTTTTTATTTACAATTTCGAACAATGGACAGGAAGTGTCCAGATATAAGTTTAGTAACAATTTTAGTAAAATGCAATAAGTTTTCATTCAAAGTCCATAGCGGTCTTGTAGAGAGGAAACAGCCGCATTGGCGATAGAACTTATTCTGCCTGCGACCTTATTTACTCCTTGACGTACACTTTCTCTAACATCATCTAAATCAACAACTCCAGCACTTCCACCACTAAGACGCATTGACAAAGAAGACGTGGGAGATGTTGCGGTAGAACTTCCTGTGCCAAAGTAGTCAGCTGATGAAATACTAGATGAACCTTCAAAACGTCGAAGATTGCTTTTACGTTCCCACTGTAATTGACATATGAAAATTTTATTTTAAATAAAAAAATAAATCATAAAAAAAATATCAATATTGTAATATCAACTCACTGAATCATCATCTTTACTGTCCTGAAAATACTGATCTGAACTAATAGCCTTGGCACTACCAAATTTCTTTTGTGCTTCTCCTTCTGCTGTCGTTTTGCTGTCATTTTTAGCATTAATTGGTCTGCTCAGAGGAGCTACTCGTTTTGGTTGTTCTGGCTCTGCGGTAACAACAACTTCTTCTGGGGTAAATAAGGCCGCATAAAATTCGTCTAAATTAATAAAAAGACCTCGTTCGATATCGAGATCTCTTTGCGTTGGTGCAGAAGCAGTGATAGTCTTTGATGATGTTTCCTGTGCTATTGTCCGCATATCACCAAGCGCAGAGTGACTCGCACCACTGTAAATTATACACTTTATAACATACTGTATTAAGTTTTTATAACAGTATTCATTTTTTGTGAAATATTACATAAAATTGTAATTCAGTGTTTAAAAATGCATACATAAAATTGTGTACATATATGTACATACAAATGCAAAAAGTATGTATGTGTATACAAATTTAGTAAATGCATCTATAAAAACAAAAGTACGAACATTACCTTCGCGTATTAAATCCCATACCAAGACGCTCTGCTTGCGTTGCTTTGGAAGGATCTAATTGTTTCGTTCTTTGTTCTATCTTTTTAGCTTGTTCAGTTAAATTCTGTTCGTATCGATATGCGAGACGAGTAGCAATTTCTTCCTGTTCTTCCTTTGTATTTTCTTGATCTTTCTCCTGTGAATCTTTTCTAGCTTCAGCTACGCTTTTTTCTAATTCATCAAAGTTTGTTTTAACCCTCTGAGCACCTAAACCTCCAGCTTTTTTCCCTAACTGTTAGAAAAATATAAAAATCGACAGCACTCTTTTAAACGAAACTATGTAGGTATTTTAATATTGTATTAGTATTGCAATAGCAAAGATGCTTCAATTTACAAAAACTTTACACAATGGAATATTAAACTGCATAAATGTAAGTGACGAATAAATAAATAATCATTTGTATACTTACACCAGTTCGTTTATTCTGAATTTTTCTGCCACCTATAGTAGGTTTCCTCTCGGATATCAAATGTGAGGTATGATCAGATAACTTAACAGTAGGTCCCAAAAAATTACCAGCATTTTCTAAAGAATCTTTTTGATTATTTTTTTCCTCATTGTCATTATTTGATACAGAATTACTAGCAGAAACTAAATTTCCTTCAGCATGTGTTAAAGATTCATTATGATGTGCTTCAACATTTTCATGTTCTTTAAAGAAATCAATATCACCTTGTTCTTCAGATGCTGATGTTGGACCTTCACCTACATGTAACTACAAAATAATATAACTTTAAGAAAAGTTAATTGCTTTAAAACTATTTTCAAACAATCTTTTTTAAGATACTATATACTTTATGTAAGATACACACACTTGTTGGGTGAGTTAGTTACATAATAAAAATAGCCCGAAGTAATTCATGGATACAATGAGTGAAACAAAATGTACAGTAATAAATAAATTTCTAAAATAATAGTGCATATTTTTACAATTATCAACAACAAATAGTGTATAAATAATCACATATCAATCTTTACAAAGCTATCTTTTAAAATAAAGAGTTAAGCAAATGTTAGTTATCTCATGATATGTTTTTGTGAAAGTAGTTTTACAGCTCACCATTGTCTTATTTTTTGTTGAAGGAAGTAAAACCTATAATTATCATATTTGTAATTATAAAATGTTTAACTAAAGTGTATGTTCTGTAAAGTAAGTGTAAATATAGACACTGCAAATTTTACCTTTGTTCCATAACGTCGCATTGCTTCAGCAGATGCTTGTGCGAGTCTTTCTCTGTACTGCCTAGCAGCACGTGAGTTATATTTTTGATGAGCATCAGTTGACGTGCAATTATATTTTGCAAAATACTTTCTCTAATAAACATAATGAAAATTTGTTTAAAATAACTAGTTTGAAAATAATGACTTGTTGTGATAACAGTTAATAATTATAATTTTTTTCAAATAAAAACACTGACAGCATTTGCATTTCCTCCTAATTGCATGTTTCTTAATTGCAACCAAGTCCAGTTTGTATCAAGTTGAGTGGATCGAACAAATGTCAAATGTACACCAAATCCTCGATGAACTGCGGAACAGTCGATGCATAAGAAGACACCATAAGTCACACTGGACCATGCTGGATTTTTTGCATTGCAATCGAAACATGTCTAAAAAAAAAATCGTTATATGTTGTAATAATACTGATTAATTACCGAAGTATAAAGTATAAATTGTGTTCATTATTTTGAAGCTTATTTTGGCACGAGAATTAACAATTTTCGTCAATATTCTTGAAATGCAAATTGACATAAACTATTCTATAATATGCGTCACCACGAAACGAAGGTTTCTACGAAAATTACAGGTTGGAAATGAAAATATGACGTGTTTGAAATTATTGTCAGGTATAATGTTGTGCATTCTTATACAGTTCGGTATTCAACATTGTATAATGAAGTAATAAATAGAGAAGCAAACCTTATTTGCCGGAATAGCTCGTAATCTTTTAAAAATTTCTTCAATATCACTTTTACTAGGTGCTGGATCTGCCATTTTTGACGTGTTGTCAACGGCCTCGCAAAGTACTCTGGGACGCGTGGCGGCGGTCGGTATGTTATATATAGAGGTCACTAGTTTGTGATTTGAATTCTAATTTACTACAAAACGTATAATTACTATTTGACCTATGTTCAAATAAACATTGAGTGTATATAATATAAAATAAATTGAACAACATGATTTTTAAAGTTTTATACATTATTAGATTTTCTTATTATTTTTTAATAAACTTATATACAATTTTAGAAACATTAGTAATATTAAGAATTTGTTATAAATTTTTCTTTACAAGAAATAAAAGTAAGAAAAATTAGAATTGTACCATTATCAAATGTATCAAGATTTTTTTTTATCACTGGATGTGTCAGGTCGTTGTCCGGTACTCGGCGAATCACTTACATTTACTTCTTCTTCTTCTACTTCCAAGTTGTTTAATCTACAACCATTAATATCACGATGTTATGTATAAAAATAATATTGATAAGAGTAACTTACTCATCCTGTTCAAGACTATACAACATTTGGAAGCCAGCATCGAGACTAGGAGGAAAACCCATTTCAGGATCTAACAACTGAAGAGTTGGCACTTCTCGGTAGACATTACCGAATTCATCGAGTTCTTCGAATTGTAATTTATTCGCCGCTTCATCTAAAACCATCCTATAAATTGAACAAATATTAACAGAGAGAAAACACTTCTTCTTTTAAAACATTACAGCTATTTCAGTGCGGTTAAATACTTAGAACTATAAGCATTAAGTTCAAGTTGCCTCTGTTTCTCCATCATTGCTTCAACCTTCTTTTTCATGTTTCCTTCAAATTTCAATATGTATTCCTGATAGTAGTCATGAAGAGCAGCTACACCACCAACACCTGTTTCCAACAAAACCCTTTCTACTATATCCTATAAGAATAAGATATATACACGCTTTTTTACAAATTTCCATTTTTGTGAACAGTAAAATGATACGTATAGTCAAATGAAAATAAATGATAATAAATTTGATCTTACAGGAAAACCATGATCTTTCTGTTCATATGCTACTTTCATTAAGAGCGTCATTCTCCTCAGAAAATGATCGGCAATATCCGTAAGTGTTTCTATAGCTATATCTGAAGACTTTTCAAATCCAATATGAGCTAAAAGAATAATAACTGCATGCCTTAGTATACAACGTGCTGTTTCTGGTGTGAGATAGTGTATTGTAGAAGAGTCTTTAAATATACTTCTAAAAAGAATTTTGTGTTTTTTTCCCTTCTTGCAAATCTTGTGCTTCAATTGTTGTCATATTTCCCAATACCATTCCATCCTCCTGAAAATTAATGCAAATTTTAACAAAAAAACTATAAATTTTATTTTCCTACTAATCATTTTATATTATTACCATCATTCGTAATTGTTGATGAAGATTAATAGTATTTAACACATGAAGGTTTCCCATTGGTAATCTGAAAATTTACAAAATTTACAAAATGTCCAAGAAACATTTTTTAATTTTTTTAGTTATAAATAACATTACTGTATATACTCAGGTTGCCTGTCCATTTGAAAATCACAATCAATGTTGCTTGATTCTTCCATAACTTGTCTCCAAACATTCTCTATGGTATCTGGAGTTATCACTTCTTGTTTCACAGTTTCTCTTGCTGGTAATTCTCCCCATAAAGAGCCAGTTCCAGTATTTTTAGCAGACTTCATGATGAAAACTCTATGAATTTATAATGTGTTATCACATTTAAAGAATAAAACTAAATTAGTGATATAATGACAGATATCTTTCTATATTAAATAAACAATTTTTAGTTAAAATATTAAAATATTAACCTTAGTAAAGAATTAAAGGTTTCATACCTATTGCAATCTTATCTAATAACATTAATGATACAATCTTTCATTGAAGGTACTTTTTTATGTTGCCTTTTTCAACATTTATGTGAAAGCTTTGTTGTTTTAATTATGATTTACTAAAACTGTAGAAATTTTACTTATTTACATGTTCTTTTCTCTCTACTTAACATTAGAATTGTGTAACACATGGAAGTACGATAAAACAGGTATGTTTTTTCTATCAAAAAACCCGCGCACGCACACATATACGGCTCACGTGTCACGATGCAGTTTAGAGAACGTCATTGCATTTTAGTGAAAAATCTGTAATCAAACAATTGTGCATTGCAATAAGAATCTTAGGTTTGCCTTTCGCGATTATGTATTGTTTAAAAATGATGTTATCTACTGAAGAATCTTACGCGAACACAGCTAAATTTTAATTAGTCTGACATCTCGTTACATTTACTGTAACTTGACATGACTACTTGTTAGGTTAGAATCATATTACACTTGAGCGCCATAATTTTATTCTGTTGCATCAACGCGCAAGTACTAAATAGTTGAAACGACTTTCGATATGTTCGATAATCGATAAGGTTTTAAGTGTTGATAATGGACAAGTAAATAGATTATGAGTTTGACATTAAGTGTTTACAATTTATTAACTGAATATTAAAAGTAAGTATAAAACTCATATTATTTATTCGTTATCTATTTACTTATTATGATATACGTATGTCAATTATTATCAACAATCTGTGATTACATCATTCATATTAAAGTACTTTAGTTTGATGGTGAAGTTAAAAAGATTGCCAGTCACTCTAAAAAATTACGACCTATTGAATATTGCTTGTTGTTTGACATCACTTGCGCATGCACTTCACACGACACGTGTTCAATTATATTTTCTCAACATTCAAGCACGCGATGAAAAATTATTCAAATTTTCAAAATTTTTGGTATAATTTATT